ATAACTGGAACTACTCCTAACTCATCCTGAGCTAGGAGTTAAGACTGCTCAAAGTTCGCCAAAAACTCACTGATTTCCACACTTGGCCAAATTTCCAGATTTTTGAACTTAGCCAAATTTCCAGATTTTAAATTTTTCCAAAAATGACTATTTCCAAATTCAAGCTTCTTCATATTCATTTTAAATTGTCGGATGTTACATCGGCACAATGGAAGTTTAGTGCACCATACTATCCTTTTAGTGCATGAAGACAATTGCTATTTTTATCTTTTGAACAACCAAAATTTAGCAAGCATATTGCAACCTCCACAATTCTATAATACACAATATTACTAGTTGTACCATCAATTTTTTTTCTCAAGAAAACCAAAGGGGCAGAATATTGGTTATATGAAAAATAATACATCCCTTATTCGGTGTATAGACATTATTTCTTGAGCATAGGTTTAGGTTCGGCCTCAATTAAAAAATAAAATGATGCACCTAACAAGATAATTTCATAGACCAAGAGTTACGTGATTCAAGTCATTTTTTGTCTTGACTCGAAATGGAGGTAAATTTGAAAAAGAATCTTAAAGTGTTTAAGGTTAGGCCACAAGGCTCAAGACCTTCTTATTTCTTCTTATTAGAGTTATTTCACAAAGATTTATCGGGATAAGAAAAAAAGAGGACAAACACATTTGGAGCTCAATATAATGTAGAGTTGTTTATTGTGTTCAAACTTCAAAGGATGAATGCTCCAAAAAGGAATATATAGATTCTCATAATACGCCTATATAATTGGTGAGAATATTCACTGCAATTTAGTCAAATTGTTTTATAAATGCAACTTCACAAGTTATTGCAAAATTTATAGTTATTAATTAAATTAGATCAAATTGCCTTTGAACTATGTGAAATGAATAAAACTGTCTTCCATTTATAGTTTGGTCCAAAAATATCTTTGCCATCAACATTTTAGTCCTTAAATGTTCTTATTGTTACTTAATGATCCAAGATGCAATTTTCCCAAATAAACATATTATTTATTTTCTTTGAACACATTCTTTGTCTAATATTATTTTTATTAGCAAATGTTTATCCTACTTTAATTAAAAAATAAATAAAAATTCTTATTTTATTATAATTATTTTTATTGTTATCTAAATAAAAATTAATGATGGATTTACTATGATCTTATATACTGGAGTTACGATAATATATTATTCGTTAAAGGAGTATATAAAGTTATTCTATTTTAATCGATAAAATGAGATTAAGAAGAAAAACGTATTTCCTAGGGGTGTCAAAAGAACATGAAAAACCGACCGAACCGACCAAACCAAACCTAACCGAACCGAACTGATTTATGTAATTTTTAAAATAAAATCATGAACTTTTATTTAAGTGTATAACCGTCCAGAACAATTGTGATGGTCTTTTTAATTTATGAAAAAACTGAAAAACTCCCTAACCAAATCGGGTCAGCGAAGGAAATAGGTTAAATGGGTGGATTTTAAAAGAATTGGGTATTTAAAATTGGGGGTGGGTTATTTGATTCATAAGATGACATGTATCCCTTTGTTAAAATTAGGGATATATATGTGCAAGTATGATGGTAGGGATATATTTGAACCGAAAGTATAACGAAGGGTATATTTAAACTATTGCTATACTACATGCCTATATTTGACCCTTGGCCGAAATCCCAAATTAAAACTGAATTGGTACTATTTCTCATCTTCTCGTTGGTCATCTAAAGCTTCACAACACTGAAAGAGAAAAAGATTATGGGGTTCAAGAAGTGAGAATCTTAATCACCCCCAAAATGAAATTAACCCTTTAAAGATCCATGGTCCAGGTATTGTTGAGCAACAATCTTTATTTGGGTCAAGAAATTATGGGTCATTCTGAAACTGAAGAGACCATTTCCTCAGTGGATTTACATGGATGGCTCTAAGCTCACCTTCTTGTACACACATTGATGGGGTGAAAAAGCTAAAAGGTACTATTTTTCTTAGCCCCCTTCAATACCCTTTTGCATTTAACTAGTGTTACAGCAATTAGTAAACTAGTTGAGGTTGATTATATATTGATTCTGCTCATTTTGGACTTGTTTCATCATAAAGGCTTCACCTTTGCTTAGACTTGTGGGTGGCTATGGTGAGCTGGGGTATCTTGCTCTGCTTTGTACTCCTATGTATTTTTTGCTTTGAAAATAATTAGTTACTGGGTGGCATGGGTTGGCCTAGTAGTCAATGAAGGGGTTGAGCACTATGAGGTCTCTGGTTCAAATCCCAGTGAAGACAAAACACTAGGTGATTTCTTCCAATCTGTTCTAGCCTTGGTGGTAGAGGGTACGCGGAGGGGTAGAGGTAGGCCCAAGAAGTATTGGGAGGAGGTGATTAGACAAGACTTGGATATGCTTCACTTTACCGAGGACATGACTCTAGATAGGAAGGAGTGGAGGTCTCGTATTAAGGTTGTAGGTTAGTAGGGCTAGCGTGTTGTCTTCCCTTGCAAGGGTATGGGTTGTTAGCATTTGGAGTAGACATAGCCTTATGTTGTTTACTGCGTTTCACGCATCGCATTACTTTCTTGTTGTTACTGTCTCATTTGTTGATTATACGCTATCGTTTGTATTGGCTGTTATGTTTTATTTATATCTCTCCTGTCACTTAGATTTGTTGTTCTTGAGCTGAGGGTCTCCCGGAAACAGCCTCTCTACCTCCACGAGGTAGTGGCAAGGTCTGCGTACAATTTACCCTCCCCAGACCCCACCTAGTGGGATCTCACTGGGCATGTTGTTGTTGTTGTTGTTCTAGCCTTGGTGGACCAAGTTACCGAAAGCAACATAGTTGCTGGTGGGAGGTGGTAGGTATCCCGTGTAAATAGTTGAGGTGCGTGCAAGCTGGTCCGAACACCACGTTTATCCCAAAAAAAAGAATTAGTTAGTGGGTGTGATAAACTTTGAAGGTCTTGTAGTTGAAATGATATAGTAATTCTTTATTGAGAGTGTATTGACAAGTTCCTGATTGCCTTGGAATTCTCATTTGACATTTGTTTTTCATTACCCTTTTACATTTAACCAGCGTTACAAATATTATTGAACTAGTTGAGGTCGATTATATATTGATTCTGCTCATTTGGACTCGTTCATCATTAAGGCTTCACCTTTATTTAGACTTGTGGCTGGCTATGGTGAGTTGGGGTATCTTGCTCTGTGTCAGACTCTATACATTTTGCTTCTAAAAGTATTAGTTAGTGGGTGTGTCGGTGTGATAAACTTTGAAGGTCTAGTTGTTGAAACGATATAGTAATTCTTTCTTGAGAAGTTCTTGGTTGCTTTGAAATCTCATTTGACATTTGTTTTTCATTACCCTTTTACATTTAACCAGCGTTACAAATATTATTGAACTAGTTGAGGTCGATTATATATTGATTCTGCTCATTTGGACTCGTTCATCATTAAGGCTTCACCTTTATTTAGACTTGTGGCTGGCTATGGTGAGTTGGGGTATCTTGTTTCATCATAATCAACTAGTTTTATGTGGGTCGTTCTCCCCTTCAATTTGGACTTGGGGGTGGCTATGTGAGTTCTTGCTTTGTGGTGTATTCTATGTATTTTGCTTCTAAAAGAATTAATTAGTGAGTGTGAAAACTTTGAAGGTCCAGCTGGCAAATTAGATAATCCTTTCTTGATAGTTAGTTGGAAGTGTGAACAAGTTCTTTTTTTTTTTAAACCGTGATATTAGTTAAGAAATAGTGTTCTTTTCACTGTACTGGAGTACATTTTAACTTGAATTCCCATGCTAATATTTTGGCTTATGTCACTGAAGGACTCAGATATAGGAATATGTCATCTCAAATTGTGGGAAAGTTCAGTCAAAATAATCAAGATATCTCACAAGAGTTCCAGCTTCCATCCGCATATGAATCTGCCATGGAAGCTCTTTCGACTCTCATTACTCAGAAAAAAAGAAATGGCACATCAGCCATTAGTGGTCCAAACCAGAAATTGGACAGAATGTTAAGGTACATTAAGGTAGTGCCATTTCTAGCTGAGACTGTTTCTCCTTTATACTTGCATCAAAGTGCATCTTGCTGGTATTGGTCTTGCCTTTTTGTTTATGTCACAAACTTATTGAAATAACGAAATTAGTGTTGTTTGTCTTTAAAATATCTGCTATTTGTCTTCAGCCGAAGAGTCCATAAATGCGCACAAAAGGTGTTTACCATATTGTTCCTAGCTGCTTCTTTCTTCTGTACTTCCCAACTTCGAAAAGTCTTAATTAGTGATTTTGGCATTGCTTGCCAGCTGCACTCCGAGAACGATCGAGGAATAAGCATCAGGACTGCCATGTCTTGCTGCAATTTATAAATAAGTTGTTTGGGGGACTTGGAGCACATTCACACGTGTAGGATCTGTTGCAAAGGAAGTAATCTTTGTGTATAGACATGTTTACTGCATAGCGAACCATCTAAAGAAGGTTGATTTATGGGGTGGGGTTTTTTGTCTTCGGAATCATTTTAGGCCTCTGTATTACTCCCTCCTCTGCTTTAATAAACATTTATAACAAAATGCACTTTAAACTTCCCTTCATTCTTCATTTTCTTGTACAAGGTGTTGCCTCAGAAGATGTAGTTTCTTATTCTCACACCTTTAGAAGAAGCAGTGACACTCTTAATCTTCCACTCCTTAAGATGTCTTGTGATGCTAATTTGCCACCCATTTTCATCTCTGCTATCTGCAGTTATGGCATCTTTTTTCAATTCCAAGTATGCAAATCTGGAATTTATTCTTTGAGAGCGCAGTGCGCTCTATCCACAGTTCTTAGCATAGTCTTATCTTGCTTTCCGTTGCTCCCTTAGGCCTTACTATACAAATGATACCCAGTCATCTATACAAATTAGAACCTTATAGGTGCACCAAAAGGAAATGAGGGGAAAATGACTATTCTTCAAGATACGATAAGCATATGAAAAAGTAGAATTATTATGTAAAGACATGGTCCTGGGGCCTAACTCAACCTCATAAGCTAGCTCACGACGGAGGATTGCCCAAGTTCATATAAGCTGACTACGTGTTCATTCTCAACCTCTAACCCACTCTAACAATGTACAAAAGCAAATTTCAAACAAGGCCTGATTATTGCTTATTCAACCACAATCAAAATACAATTTAAGAAGATACAAGAGCTCAAGAAAAAAGCAGAATGAAATGCTGATAGAGGTACACAGTCTGTCCATTTCTAACTCTGAATGCCTGCGAGGACAGTCTGAATTACTGTCGTACTTACCGTGAAAGTAACAGCAAGGAACACAATGAAATTCCAGGGATCATTAAGGTAACTTTGCTTAAACTCATCATAGGCAAATGCCTAGATGAAACGAACTAACTAATCTTTGTGATAACTTTTTCAACTTCAAAAACTCTTTTTTCTAAGTTTCAACCCAAGACCCTGACTTTGTGAAATGCTTCCAGGATTTCCAATTTGAAACTATCCCGGAAGGATTGCCACCATCAGATCGCAATTCAACTCAAGATCCTGTTTCGTTATGTCACTCGCTTAGGAAGAACTGCTTGACTCCTTTTCGTAATTTACTATCAAAGTTTATTTCATCACCCGCCGTTCCACCAATTTCTTGTGTAATATCAGATGGGGTGATGAGCTTCGCCATTAAGGCTGCACAAGAATTTGGCATTCTTGATGTCCAATTTTGGACAGCCTCAGCTTGTGGTTTTATGGGATACCTTCAATTTGATGAACTAAGAAGAAGAGGGATTATCCCGTTTAAAGGTTCGTCCTTAGAGCTCAACGTCATACTCCCTCCATTTCAATTTGTTTGTTTTATTTTTCTTTTTAGTCAGTTTTTTAAAAAAAATGTCTCTTTCTCAACTCTTTGATTCCAACTTTCCACGTGACATATTTAAGACCATAAGATTCAAAAGTTCTATTTACTTTGTTCAACTCTGTGAACAAACAAATTGAAACAGATGTAGATAGAACTTATGGGTAATAAGTTCATTTGAACTCAATATTTTCGATATGAAACTATATATATGTGAAAAGCTATTTGTGGAACAGATGACAGTTTCATGGAGGATGGTACACTGGATACAATTATCGATGGGATTCCAGGAATGAGAAACATTAGGTTGAAGGATTTGCAAAGCTGTATCAGGACTACTGATCCACATGATATTCTGTTAAACTATTTAAGTGATGAAGCACAAAATTGCTTGAAATCTTCTGCAATAATTATCAACACATTCACTGAACTAGAACGTGAAGTCTATCTCCAAATGCCTACTCAATTAATAATGATGGATCTTTCATGCATGTTGGAAAAAGTAAGTCATAGACTTTAGGTTTTTAATCTTCTGTCTGCTGTAAAGTTCTCATCATATTTTTGAGACAAGCAAAATGAAATGGCACATACAAAGCATGACTGCTCTGTTAGCTGTTTTAGATCAAAACATGGCTATAAGTTATATGAGCATGTTATCACAAGAGGCTGTGCTGCTTTTCAACAAATCCATTCTAAGAAGTTTTCACAAATTCAATTCCATGAGTTTTCATCAAGTGAACTCATTTAACATTTCCATATTCTACTATTGTAATAAGTACACAATCAAGATACAACGAATACATGAAAAAATACAATTACATACAAATATGCAGCCGAAGAAGGCCTTGTTATTGTTTTATTCAAATACAACCACAATCAAGATACAACGAATACATGAAAAAGTACAATTACATACAAATATGCAGCCGAGCAAGGCCTTATTTTTGTTTTATTCAAATACAACCACAATCAAAATACAACAAATACGTGAAAAAGTACAATTGCATACAAATATGCAGCCAAGCAAGGCCTTATTATTGTTTTATTCAAATACAACCACAATCAAAATACAACAAATACGTGAAAAAGTACAATTGCATACAAATATGCAGCCAAGCAAGGCCTTATTATTGTTTTATTCAAATACAACCACAATCAAAATACAACAAATACGTGAAAAAGTACAATTGCATACAAATATGCAGCCAAGCAAGGCCTTATTATTGTTTTATTCAAATACAACCACAATCAAAATACAACGAATTCATGAAAAAGTACAATTACATACAAATATGCAGCCGAACAAGGCCTTGTTATTGATTTATTCAAATACAACCACAATCACAATACAACTCATGAAGATACAAGAGCTCAAGAAAAATGCAGAATGAAATACTGATAGGGGTACTCAGTCAGTCTTTTTTGTATGTCTGAATGCCTGTGAAGACGGTCTGAATTACAGTCATACTAACCGTGAAAATAACAGCAAGGAACACAAGGAAACTCCATGGACCACTAAAGTACCTTTGCTTAAATTCAGCATAACCAACTCGTAGAGGGAGAAGATTTTTACTTTTGAAGTAAGTAGAAATCTGTTGTTTGACATCCTTAAAACCTTGAGGATTGGGATCATGATGTGCAACTATATCTTTAAAGAAGTTAACCACTTGTTCATCGCTAAATTTGAGGTTGATCTGGATTACTTCCCTGGCTCGCAGCTCCTTAACATCTTCCTCTCCATTAATTAACATACTCATGAAATTCAAGTAAGATGAGAATCCAAAGGATGTATATTCTAAGCTGCACGAAGATTCATACGCAACTAGATTATATAAAAGGGTCATATTCAATTCGTCGATAATTAGTTGTGGAAGGAATAACTTCCCCGATAACATAGATGATTTAAAATGGATGACTTTGTCATTCTGCGATATCGCACAGCTGCAACGAATACCTACTTTCTTCAACTCTGTGACTGAGAAAGGTGGACCATCTTCTTCTTTTTTGTTGTCATCTTCTTCTTCTTCTTCGACATCAATGTTAAATAAAACATTGATCCACAAGTTTCTATAATATTGAAGAAGATGTACAGAATCTGGGGCCCGATGTGGATGAAGAAAGGAAAATTTGTAGATGTAGATATAATTATCAACTATAGGAGGAGTTGGAACCCGGAAAAGAGACTCTTCACATTTGAATGCGCGTACTAACGCGCTTAGAACCTGGAGAGGAAATTGATTTTCAAGCAATATAATGTCACGCCACACCAAATCTCTATTACGTTTCTTCAACCAGCTCCTCTTGCCAGTACTAGTGATGAAGTAAATAATAAAGCAGGCATCGCGGAACATCATCTGACACCACTCACTGTCTGAAATTGTATCCCTACGAGACATGTCATAAAGATCTCGAGCACTGAGCAAGTCATGTTCAACACTTTTATACACTTTTTCAAGGGATGCCAGCTCCTCGTCTGATGAGCAATCCTGGTTCAAGGATTCAAGTAACAATTCCCTCACTGCTTTCCGCTTGAAATTCTCCATGGGTTCAACATGAGGTTTTCCATAGTGGAATGGACCAAGGGAAACCACACGGGGCTCGTAGTACTTGTGATAATCTTCCTTACTAGTACTCTCGGCAAGTTTATGTGGAATACCAAAATGTATTTTCTGTGTCGACTCTTCATGTGGTGTTGCACCTAACGTCGACACAGGTATATCAATGATACAATGTAACCAGTTAGTCTCTGAGGATGATATCATCAGCCTGAGCAATTTACATCCAAAGAGACCATAACATCAGTTACGTTGGACCATATATACAGCAAATGAATATAATTAAGAATATTATATAAACTTGCACTTCAATAAGTTTCAAAAGCTACAAGTTTTTATAGCATTACGTCTGCTATCTTTTGCTTTAAGAGTGTGCTTGGTATGCAGGAAAATATATTTTCCATTGAAAATGTTTTCTATGGATTTTAACTTATTTTTTCATGTTTGGCTGATGAGTAGAAAATAATCTTTCGGTAAATAATTTCTGATCCAAAAATCAACCCCGATAATTAATCTAGGACCTAACCTCGACACCCAAACTAAGACAAGACTTCAATGACAGTTGCAAAATCCGACCCTGAGATTTGGCCCAGCACCTGACCCAGGCTTTCATCTCAGGACCTGATCCAAGAACTTTTTATTCAAAAAAATTTTTAAAAAAAATTAAAATTGACCGGGAGGGAGGAGGGGGGAAGGGGATAAGGATAGGGGTGGCATAAAAAATAATTTTTTTAAAATTTGAATATTCTTCAAAAACAATTTTTTTTAAAAAAATTAAAATTTGACGGGTGGCCTGGGGGAGGGGTGGGGTGGCGTAAGAAATATAATTTTTTAAATTTGAAATATATTTTTTCTTAATTTTTTTTTGACGGGGATGGCCTGAGTGGGGGTGGGGGGTAGGGATAGGGGTGGTGTAAAAATGAAAAAAATTTAAATTTTACATTTGAAATATTTTTCAAATCTATTTTTCAAGGAAAAAAAAATTGACGAGGTTGGCCTTGTTTGGGGGGGAAGGGGGGGGGGGGGAGTGGCGTAAAGATTAAAAAAAAATGGACTTATTTTTCAAAAGCAATTTTTTTGGGAGTGCTTTACGAAAAAATAAATATAAGACTTATTTTTGAAAAATCAATTTAACTTTTTAAGAAAATCGATTTTCAAGAATTGCCACATAATTTTTTAAGAAAAATCAAGAAAATTTATAATTTTCAAAAGACTTGAACAAAAAAATCAGTATGAAAATATCAAAAGAGTTCGGGGTTCAATTTACACTTCAAGATAGTGTTAAACACTTGAAATATCCACTAACACGTGATTAACCTACTACTTGACTAGAAGTTTGACTGACTTTTGAGAGAAATACTTAAAGTAAATAAAAATATTCAAAAACTATTTGAAAAGAAACTAACTTATAGGTATTTGAAGTAATATGAAAAGAGAGCAAAGTTTATCAAAATGACTAAGTAAAAAAAATAAGAAAAAGGTTGATTAAATAAAATCATTCACATGTAATAAATTAAAATAGCCAAAATGGTTCATCCTTAAGCGGATTTAATTAAATTTAAACCGCACAAATAAAGTTAGCTAAACAAGAAATAATCAAATACAATAATACAGGGAGAAGAAAATTAGAAACTTGGCCTGCCCAAATTTCAAACTATTAGGCTGGCAGGCCCAAATTTGTTTCCTCCTGTCCTAATACTAAGTAACTCAGTCTTTTCAGACTATTTGATGCATTTCGTTTTGGGAATGGCCCATTCTTCCACCTGTCCTAAATACTAACAAGGTACATCATTTGGGCCTTTTTAAGCCCATTTTCGTCCATGTATCACATTGTACACATCAGTGTATATCGGCACATATACAGCCCACTTTTCGGCCGCCGAGACCTGTAAATTTGCTTCCCTTTCACCCTTGAACACTCATGGCTGACTCGATACTCGAAAATTCTAGGAGATGATGAAAAGAGTCCAATTTGGACTCCGCGAAGTATCACATGTAGAGAAAGTGAAAGGAAAGATTTAACATGAGTAATTCAAGGTTGTCGTGAAGCAAATTGACCAATAAAGAGGCAGTGAGCAGACATGGATTCATCTAATTTTAAAACATGCGGCAACAATACAAAACACATAGAAAGATATGAATTAATTGAACAACTACTACCACATAGGAGAAAATTTAATGAAGCTAACATGTTAATTACAAAATACATCTTCTATCCCAGTTGAATTCCAAACAAATTTGTGATCTTCACATTCAACACAACATGAACTAGCCAATATGCAATGTTATCACAAATGGATACATAGTTACTGCATGATAAGTTGAGGAAAACAACCTAACTTACTCAAAATAAACATTTGTGTAATTAACTGAAAATTTCAATGAAGCTCATACCAGAACTCTTGAAAGTAGATTAAATAACCATCTAAGACTTTAAGGCAAAAAAAATGGAGCATAGCATTGGAAAAAGAATTCATTCAACCAGTGTTATATTCTAGGTGTTTTGATGATCCTCACAAATGCAGGGATCCGGTCCCTGGTAGAGTGCTCTCGTCCTGTTTTAAAATGGGGTACAGCTGCAAAGCTGTCTTGTCAGGTTGGTTGGTGAAAAGTACAGCGTACTTCACCAATAGAAAGGGCGGACGAGGTTGCTTGTTTCAGTGGTCCTTTGATCACTAGTGGACGCATACATTCCAACAACCAGCACAAATAAATTATAATGCAAGGACACTATTTATATAATTGAGATTTCTCATTTATTCATGACACAAAGCACAAACCACTTTCTGAAAATAACCATCAGAGAAAACGAGGTCCAATTCTAAGGCAGCAATAATAACCCAAGAACAAGATAAGATTTAACTAGTAAATAAGGACAAATTGTTGAATCGGGTATAACTATGGTCGAACAAAGGTTATGCCAAGACAACAATTTATAACTTCTAAGCATAAGGTTAATATTTTCATGACTCAAACTAGTAAGAAGTCAACTCTTTTAAAGTAGAAAATCAAGAATTGAAGCCTAAGCATAGCAATAGTCGGGCTTGAATAGTAAATAGAAACGAAAATATAAGTCTTAGCACAAAAATTAACTATGTAGTTAAGTTACAAACAGTAAACGAAAATACAAACAAAATCATAAACAAACACATATTTGATGCATACTACTGGAATGAAACATATTACCTTCTTCGGAACTGAACTGAGACGAGAACGAGCTAAGCTACACCATGACTAAACTTTGCAACAAACCAAAACGACTCGAGACAGCGCACTCTCTCTTTGGCTATCAGAAACGTGTATTTTGAATGAAAATTTTACAAATCAAGTTCGTTTCTTCCAGACCTCTAATTTTTCTGCCTCCCAAGAATTTATCTCGACAACAGGGTATATATAGGGGGGGAATGGGAATTGAAAAAGGGGAAACGGATGAGGCTGGGAAGAATTTTGAAATTCGAAATTCGAATTCCTTTCAATAGATAAGGTTTGAGAAGCTGTCAAATAGTATCAATTCTCAACTCAAGGCATCCGTTGATTTCTGAGTAAAGGACAAAGGATCAACACGATTTTCACACCTGTAAATTCGAGAATGCGAAGGATAAGGTAGAGATAAGAGGAGGACGCGCGATGGGTTTTTTTCCGGGTATGGTTTGCTGGGTTTGCAGCGCGAGAGAGAAGAGGAAGAAGTATACTGTCTTTCTTCTTGTTGTATTGGATATTTTTGTGAAGAGAATTGTCTGTTTTGTAATTGTTGTTGGGATGAGAATTGGAATTTGAGAACGTAAAATTGGAGGTAAGGATTGGCTAAAATTGCAACTAAGGCCTTAGCCAAATTGATCACTTTCAGTAAACTCCAGTAATAATAAAATAAAGATGAATTAGTATATGATTAATTAGTGAGTTTCTTAATCTTAACAAAATAAAATAATTAAATTAAATATAAACTATTAATTCATTCAACAAATATAAACTATAATTTGGAAAATATTTAAGCTAATCAAACATGAAAAATTGAAAAACATTTCTAGAAAATGTTATCCTCCATACCAAACACACCCTAACACTGCCTTTATTCTCAACTCAACACACTAACAAAGACAGATTCTAGTCTTCCTGACAATTAATATCATTTTAAAGTTCTGGATTTAAAATTAAAATCATCCTTAAAATAGCAAATTTGAATGTCAATTGTGAGTCCTTTTATATATATATATATATATAACTGTGGTGTCAAGACAGCCACCTCAACTATATCTACGCTAAGTTGCTCGAACTTGGGTGTCCAATACGGGTGCGGATCTAAATGTCAGATCCTTAAACGTCAAGCATACAACAACAACAACAACATATTACGTACTCAATGTAATCTCATTGGTGGAATTTGAGGAGGATAGAGTGTACACCGACCTTACCCCTACTTCATGTAGGCAGAGAGATTGTTTCCGAAAGACAATTAAATGTGAAGCATATAATATTAAGGGAAAATGGTCTGATATACCCCTCAACTTTGTCATTTAGAGTTGATATACCCTTCGTATTGAAATTGGCTCATATATATGCTTTACTTGTATACAAATGACTCACATATACCCTTTTGCTCTAACAGAAGTGAAAAAATTCATTTTAATTTAATTTTTAATTGTTTTTTTGAAAAAATAAATCATACGGCATATATTTGATCCTCCTCTCACATTTTATTTTTTTTACTTTTTTATTTCAACAACTAATTTAAATTTATTATTTTGATGGTCAAATTTATTTGTGTTTCACTAATTTTCTTGTAAAATTTATTATAGATGCCCCATTATTTTATTTTATTTATACAAATACAAAAACTAAATAACAATATAACCGCAAAAAAAATAGTTTTAAATTTTTTCTTTACACTAGAAACGAAACGAAAGAAAAAAAAAGTATAAGAAACTCGAATAATGATGCCTATTCATGTACAGTTGATTCTCGAACAATAAGAGCTAAGACTAATGCCCCGCCTTTTCTCAAGAAGTCAAAAAATAATATTTGTATTAAAAATATTGAAATATACCTTGAACTTATGATATATATTTTTGTATTAAAAATATTGAAACATACCTTGAACTTATGATATAAATATATATATATACTAGATGGGCAAGGCCCGCGCTCAGCACAGGCCCAATAGTTTATACTTTCAGTGATGGCCAACTTTTGGATGCTTTGCATAGTCATTTGATCACGAAGGATAGTATGGAAGAACTAATTCACATCCACTAATTGAAGAGAATGTTCAGAAACATATTTGTTAATGATACACCATTACATACATATTCATAGATATATCCAAATATAAAATCTTCAACTTAAAGCTTGATATTTATTTTCTTTTGTGGTCAAGAACTTTTAAGAATGACACCCTTGGAACTTCTTCTAGAGAAAGATCACCTTGGAAAGATTCAAAACAGCCTTCAAACACAAAAAAATATATAATTAAATGTTTGAGAAACCTCAAAAGACAAAGCGAAACACAATGAAGACTCCAAGTTGGAACTCAAAACATATGTTTAGCACATGTGACAACAAATAACTTAAAAAGACTCCAACTTTTATAATTACCATTTCAATCTCTCAAGTATTGTCCGCAATCAACCTCCACCAAATCATGCCCATCATAAATATATACTTCACATGTTTCAACAAAGATAAATGATTAGGACTACTTCTAATTTATAGCCCCTGTTCATAAAGTCCTCATTTCCTTTTCTCCTCTTTCTTCATTTCAGACTCTAGAAAACAAAACAAAACAAATGGAGAGAGTTAAATGTCACTCTCATCCACAAATCTAAATGACAGAGCTTTCAAAAATAAAATACTGGTTCAGAAGAAACTATTATCTACTCAGATCAGTAGCGTAACCACATATATATTAGAAAATGGAAGATAAAACTTGAGAAGAAAGTTTTCTTGTTGTTTTCATTTGTACATTACTCCTATTTATACATCTCTATGTAGATAATGAATAAAAATAAAAGAAAAGTAGTATTTACACTTGTCCTATTATTACTAGTCTAGGAATAACAATTTGTACTAGGTATATTCTTTTGTGTGCTGATCATGAGCATTGCTACAGCTGGAAATAGGGACAGCTGGACGGTGAAGATTGTGCCCAGTACATCTTTGATCAATGGTCCTCGGTGTTCCATGTGTTTGTGCAAGATGGTTATCAAACAATTGATTTTGGGACAACATCTTCGACTTCTCCGAAGCTTCTCTTTTCTCTAGAATTTCTTTCTTCTTTTTCATTCATTCTTCCAAATTTTTGTGTTGATTAGCTTGTACTCCAATATCCCCCCTCAAGTTGGAGGGGAGTGTAACAACACCCAACTTGTCGAATGCAAAGCGGTGAGGAATCCATGATAAGGGTTTTTGTAAAGAAATCAGCAAGTTGAGAAGTTGAAGGGACGAAGGTGAGAGAGATCAAACCAGCAAGAAATTGTTGTCTGAAGAAGTGACAATCCAAATCTACGTGCTTAGTGCGCTCATGAAAGACTAGGTTGCGAGCAATATGAAGGGCCGCTTGGTTGTCGGAGTGAACAGGAACCGGTAACATTGGCAAAACAGAGAGATCCGTAAGGAGACGAATTAACCAGGTTATTTCAGCAGTGACTCGTCTCATGGTTGAGACCACTGTTGCAAATAAAACTGGAAATGGAAATCAGATCGATATCAGTCATCCTTTTTATCTTCACTCTTCAGATTCACCAGGGATGAGCCTAGTGAACTTCATCTTTGATGGAAGGGGTTTCCAGGGATGGAGGAGGACCATTCTCATAGCTCTCTCAGCCAAAAATAAGTTAAGTTTCGTAGATGGTACCTGCAAAATTCCAGATCTGGATTCATCAGAATATCAACCATGGAGTAGATGCAATGACATGGTTATGTAACGACCCTAAAAACGAACTAGTGAAACTAGAGCCTCACATGTGAGTTTGGAGTGTTGTTTAAGGACTTAAGGGGTTGATTAGCTAGTTGATTAATCACCTTTATAAGCTAGCAAGACCTTAAGCTAGGTCATGAAATCATTTAGAACCGAGACCCTCAAAACAGTCCCCTAAAAACAGTTTTTAGTTTTAAGTTAGGAGTGAGGGTCAACTTTAAATGGTCATATCTTTTAGCTCAAAATGAATTAGGTCGACCATTACCTATCCAATTAAAGGTATCTGAGTCCTCTTTCCAACGCCACCGAGTTT